GTGCGGCCCCGCGGCCGCCGCGCGGTGCGGCTCACCCGGCTGCACTGCGATGTCCTGCGGGTTCTCCAGGTTGTCATCAACGATGACTGTCGGCAGCGATACCGCCTTGGACGGCACGCCCGCCATCTCCGCGCCCGGCATGCCCAGGCGCCGCGGCAGCAGGCCGACGACGCACGACACGCGCACGAGGAGCTTGGCGCCAGGCACGATCGGGCCGGGGCAGACGGCGGCCGAGGCGTTCGGGAGAAGGATGTTCGGCTCGTGATCCTTCAGGGCGCGCCGCGCCGTGGGCGGCGCAGGCCCCGTCGCCGGCCGGCCGGGGGCGGCGGCGGCGACGGCGACGGGGCGCCCATCCGCCCTCGTGCGGGCGCGGAAAGCGGCGCCGGCGCGACGCGGCGAGGCAGCGGCAGCGCCCCAGGGATGAATTTGGCCATCCACCGGAACACGTTGCTGTTGCGGTTCCTGCCTGACCGCGTCCGCGCGATACCTCGACAGAACAACCAGCACCAGCAGCACCGAGGACCAGGTCCAAGCGTGCCGGCTGCCGCGGCACGCCCTGAAGGCGTGCATCTCACCACCAAATACAACGCGTGCTAGCCCATGGCTCTGCGCTAGCCCGCGCGAACGTTGGTCATCGGTGTTCCGCCACGCAGATGGATACGGAAATGAGCGCGAAACAAACTTGGTGCACCAGTAATATCACTTCACGCAGAGACCACAGGATCCCAGCCACGCGAGCCAAGAGACCGAAGTTTACGCGTAAGTGGCTTTAAAGGGACGGCGACTATGAGATAACAGACCGTCACGAGCCAAGGTATCAGTTAGTTTGCATGCTCCAGCGTCCCTGACAGGCGTCCTGCACCTGCGGCTTGGGAATCCGCCACTGCTGACGATGACTGCTGCGCATTGCGTTGGCCATTGGGCGGCGCGCTGCGCGTTACTCCGGGCCATGAAAGCAGTGTCTGGCCTGCAAACGGACTTGCGACCACGGCGCTGGCATCTGAGGCCAGGCTCGCGGCGTACCCGACACGTGCCGCCTGCGTCATCCTCGCCCCGAGCGCAGCGCGGCGAGGCGAGTCTGAATGACTCCGCTGCGGCGGGAAGAGCGCCGCGGCATCTGCTTCCTCTGTCCTGCTCCCAAGCACACCTGTGCCCACCGTGGTGGTGGGAAAGCCTATCAAGCAAGCAGTAGCAGGCACCCCAAACGGCACAGAGTTTGTTGAGCGGTGACGTGCAGAGCAACTGTGTCATCCCGCACGCTGCGGTGACGCGGGCGGGGTACGAGCCGGGATGCGCGTGCGCGGTGCACGCTTCGCATGGCGCGGCCATGCGCACAAATCCTCGCCAGTTCAGTGCTGCGCCACACCTGGCATCAAGTCGCCATCCGCGCCGCACCCGACTGCAGGGCTGCACTAGGGTTGCGCAAGGGTGGCCGGCAGCGGGCGCCACTGGGCAAACCCACTCGCAGTGCGAGCTCAGGTCGCGGCTGGCGCTGAAAGCTCTATCATCCGTGGAGGCCGTGTGCGACAACGGAGGGATCGTTGGCCATAACACAGGGCGGAGGGCGGCGCTGGCAGGCTGCGCTGCTTTGCAGCGGCGACTCTAGTGTTTGTGCGCATGAAACCACCCCCTTGGCAGCTTGCTTTGCCCCCTTGCATGCCCCTACCCCGCTCCTCCCTGTACCTTGAGGAATTGTGCATGTATTGCTCATCATGCATTACCATGCGCACTTGAGAGCGTGCGACCGGCATGCCCGGTGCAGAAAGCCCTGTGGGATGCGGCCGAGAACGCTTTTATGAGGCGTCTGCGCAGCAGGCTAGGACAGCACCGTGATGCCGCCAGCAAACGCTCTGGGCCACTCGGGCGACGTCAGGCTTGGCGAGCTGCATGGCTGGCTGGCGGCCACACGGCCTGGCAACCAAGTGCTCCATCTGCAGTGTGCAAGCATTCCCAGATTACTTCCTCTCTCCGGCCACAGCTGTGCAGCAGCGGTTCAAACTATCTTTTGTGATGTGGAGGCCAGCAGGCAACAGCTAGGAATGCAGACGTCCTGTTAAGACGTCAGCTCGCGCTGCACAGTACCCGCATCAACACACACCGCCTGGGCAGCAAAGCAAAATTGGCGGCGGTTCCAGCTGCCCGCTTGCTGTGCCCAGCCTGCCAGCAACAGCAACCTCTGCGCAGAAGGTGGCCCGCGTGCATGTGCACCTGCCCTCTTTTCAACCATGGGCAGAGGTGCGAAGGCATGCGCGGGCCTGTGGACTCAGTAAAAATGCACTGGTGGCTGGCAGTCCACAATTTTCTTGTCACCAGGATCCGACTTGCGGGGTACAAAACGGCCAACGCAAGGGCTCGCCGCGAGCCGCAGTGGCAGCTGCGCAGCGGCAAAATGGAATGGGCGTGCCTGCATCTCCGCAAGGTGGAAGCGCTCAAAGGGGCTCCCTCACCTGGGCAGTACAAAACATGCTGGCCGCTCGGCTGTGATGGACGCTGCTGCTAATGCCGACAAGCCTTCTTCGGAAGCTGCGGTGTCGGGGCCCGCGCGCTGCAGCGGCGCCGCATGTGGCGCCTCTAGCTATCCGGCCGGCAGCTGCCGCCGGCTGCCCCTGCGGCTGGTCGGTTGCGCCGCCAGTTGTGACGAGCCTCAGCCGGCAGTCACGAGACCGCCAGAGGCCGCCCGCCTCCCGGCGGCGCCCTCATGGCCGCCAGGGGCGGCGCAGGTAGTAATAGGCGACCGCAGCTGCCACGAAGCCCGCGAGCTGCAGCAGCGCCGCGGGGCTGGCCGCGCCGGCCAGGATCGAGGCCAACAGTATAGCTGAGCACGGCGTCCAGGGAAACAGCGGCGCCGCATAGTCTCCCTCGGCTGCGCCGCGGCCTCCCGCCGCGGCCCATGACACCGCCGCCGCGCCGACGGCCCACGCAGTGGCTGCGGCGCCC